TTAAAAAAAAAAGTTACATCCATAGTAGAAGTTTGAATGAGATTCAAAAACGACATGATATATGTTAAGGAGCGTTTTAAGATTAAGATAATAATATATTATCTTAATCTTGATATTAATCTATACAGGCTAAAAATATATATTTTCTTGTATTGGCTTTTTAACCTGTCCAGACTGTAAAATTTATATTATTAGTTTGGTTTTTTACTTTTTAGAAATGAGCCGAGAAGTTTCTATGATTTAAGTATATAGGGAGGTGAAACGATCTGAGCGAATTAAATTTTCTGGATTGCAACCTCTGCATGTTGCAACTTCTTTATGTTAAAATTAAAACATATAACCCACTAAATTAAATTCCTTTGCCGATAAAAAATCTCATCCTTGCAAAATAGCAACAAAACTGGATATTTCGCATGTAAAACGTATGACTAAAAAAGCTAATGATGCTGTAAAAAAAGAAGTAAACCCGCAGGATACTGTAAAAAACGAAGGAAACCCGCAGGATAAATCAGCAGGAGTATAGTGACACAAATCGATGGGTTTATCCAAAAAAAGTCAATTACTTTTTTAATATTCAGATAAAAAAAATAATTGACTTTTTTTGGATAAAGATTTCTGATAAAAGTCTATCATGCGGATTAGAAAATTGTTATTATAACAATACTTTTTTTAATAAATTAGACGCTGTTGGAAGATCAGCATTAAAATTTCTTTTTAGCATTTCAAAATACAGCAAAAACTATCTGCATTTCTACTTTAAAATTTATGACGTAACTGCCATCCTCAATTATTGGCATCTTCATGCAATACGAATTCTTCAGCTTCAGATAAAAATAGAAGACATTTAATTCAATTTATGAAAATTTATTAAGCGATTATTCATATTTATGTAGATGTCCAAAGAGAGTTAAAGGTTATAAAGTTAACTAAAAATTGATGAGTTCACTAGGGTGTGAACAAAATTAAAGTGAAAACATTGATCGTTTTTTGATTAGTTTAGATATAGTTTATTTTAAAATATACTGTTGATTTAAATTATTCTTTTTTGATTTTACTTTAGTTTTATTGTAAAGTTTAAGTATTCGTTTTATATTTAGTTTTTTTTTTTTAATTTAATTCAATTTAGACTGTTTAGTTATAAATATTCATTTTATATTTAATAAAAATTTATACGTTTCGGAAGAGTTATTCGTTATGTAATTAGTTTATATTTAGCTTATATAACTTAATATATATACTTTTGTGAAATCATTTCATGTTTAGTTTTTTAATTTAATTTACAACGTTTGGTACAAATATTCATTTTATGTTTATTAGATCATTTATATTTAGTAAATTATATTTTTGATTAAATTTATATGGTTATAGTAAAATTATTCATTTTATATTTAGTTTACATTTAGATTAAATTACTTTTATATCGTTATTTGTTTTAATTTAATTTGTCTTTAATTTTTAATTAACTCAGGTTTAGTGCAAATATTCGTTTTAAGTTTGTACTAATTTTTTAAGCCCCCAAGTTTAGTTTTTAAGTTGGGTAAATATAACATAATTAATAGAAATAATAGTATAATTAGAGAAAATTTATGACTTAAATTTTAATCAGTGGGAGTAATTGTCCTAAATTTTGTGATATAATTTAGATGAAATCCCAATTTAGAAAAAATTTCCTTGTAACACACGAATTTATGTGTACGCGAAGTGGTCTGCCTATTAGATTAATATGATAAATAAATAATTGTATAATAAAGTTTTGAAGATATTTATACAAAACAAATAATAAAAAAAAATGATATTATACCAAGCAATGAAGTAAATATAACCTATGTTATTGCAGCGAGAATACGCATAAAGTTACAAAGATCTTGTTATGGGGAGAATAAATTTTTTAAGGATTTTCAAGCTCTCCATGGTTAATGGAAAAGTTGCCAACGACCTTAGTGAAGTGACTGATGCAGCTACTAGTTGCACCATCTGCAATCTGACCAGCTACAATAGGAATGAGCTATAGAAGGTTTATAAATTACGGCAAATCTTCTAGATATTAGACTTTGACATGTCTTGTCCTTAGGTTGGGTTTTAAAAAATAGCAGGAGGTGAAGATAAAGAACTACTTCACCTAAAAAAAGACAGGTTCAAGTAGCCTTGATATCAATGTTGATATTCCAAAGTTAGGAGAATCTGGAAAATCTAATGATGGCAATGTTGACTGGAGGTTCTTTAGGTTGTACGAAAATCAACAGTGTTGATAATAAGCTGTTACAGACGTTTTACATAACTCTTTGAATTCTTTGTAGCAATGTGGTGATGAACCCTAACAAGTTTCACCAGTATAACTTAGAAACTGCACGACTGTACACCAGGTTGTATAACTAGCATCATATACTTTAAGAAGTCGGATCTCTGTCAGAGGAGCAACAGTAGTCCTCTAACAAAGTATTCAAGCAAAACAAGTAGGATTACACAAAGAAATTCTTCTAAACCGAGACAAATAATGTTTTTATGATGAGGATGCTTTACAACTCCAATCTTAGGGTGTCCAGAATGAGGAACAGTCAGGATAAGGTCAAAAAAATTTAGCTTCCTGATGAACCTACAGAAGGCGAATTAGCCTATCGGAGAAAAAATTAGATAATTATTTTTACTAATTCATTATTGCTCTGTTCTTTGAGAACATTGAGCGCTCTATTTGTAGAATACACTAACTTAATTTTTATATTTATATATTCATATATATATATATATATATATATATATATATATATATATATATATATATATACATATATATATATATATATATATATATATATATATATATATATATATATATATATATAATATATATATATATATATATATATATATATATATATATATATATATATATATATATGATATATATATATGTATATATATATATATATATATATATATATATATATATAAATATATATATATATATATATATGTATATATATATATATATATATATATATATATATATATATATATATATATATGTATATATATATATGTATATATATATGTATATATATATATGATATATATATATATATATATATATATATATATATATATATATATGATATATATATATATGTATATATGTATATATATATCATATATATCATATATATATATATATATATATATATATATACATATATATATATATAAAATGGGGTTGGGCAGCAAGTTTAGGAGGCTTATTTGCAAACATAGGGGCTCCTTTTCAAATTTAAATAGCTTTACTAGTTACAGCTTTATTATATAGATAAGGACCATGATACAAAATAGAGAAATGCGAGATATTTGTTTTTTTAAAGGGTAGTTTATAGTCTCCTTTTTCTCTTGAGTCGTATCTATTTTTGCTATTATGAAAG